TGCTTGTCTTTAATCTATGGTTTTCATTTGTTAAATTTTCCCTTATTGTTCCTTCCATTATGTTTAAATTTAGATAATCTCTCAAACAAAGGGTTACCAAATAATCTTCCTATTTTACGGGAGTAGATTTTAGTGTTTCTTGTGTTTGTTTGCTCTTTTTGTTGTTGTTGTTGTTGTTGTTACAGATGTTTCTCTTTTTTTTCCCCATTGACATCCTCCTCCCCACCCCACCCCCACCCCGTCCCTGGCTTTGTTGTTCATGTCCATTGGTTATGCGTACATGCATATAAGTTCTATGGTTTATCTCTTCCCTCCCCCCACCACCCCCTCTTCTAAGGGTTGTCAGTCTGTACCCTACTTCCATGTCTCTGGGTGTACCCTATTCCTCAGACTGGTATGTTCATTATATTCCACAAATGAGATCATGTGGTCTTTGTCTTTTACTGCTTGGCTTGTTTCACTTAGGATAATACTTTCCAAGTCCCTCCATTGTCGAATCAAAGGATAAGAGATCTTTCTTTCTTACAGCTGCATAGTACTCCATTGTGTATATGTGCCACACCTTTTTTATCCATTCATCTACTGATGGACACTTGGGCTGTTTCCGTGTTTGTTCTTTAATCCCTCGAAAACTTATTTTGTTGTGTGCATAGAGTAATGATCTACATTATTCTTTTTTTCAGATAGCTATCTAATTATTTATTACTGTTTTTGAACAGTCATATTCTTTCCTACTAATTTATTTTGCCAACTTCATCATATAATAAGGTCAGATTTAGGATTGTTTTCCTGTTGGTCTGCAGTAATACCAGACTATTCTACACATTGCAGGCTTTTAGACTGATTTTAGCCCTCCTTCCCCAGTATTCTCTTCAAGATATTTCTAGTTATTTCTACTTGTTATTTTTCCAGGTGAGTATTTGATTTTGTATTCTGGCTTATGTTTGAGAACTAAGATGATATAGGATTATATTGTTTTTTATTCTAAGAAATATTGATTGATATATGTGGCAAAGTGATATTAACCTTCACTTGAAATGTAAAATGTGCTACCAGCACAGTATTTTTCTGTTTCCCTCAATTCATGTATCATCACATTTTTCTATCTCTTTTACTAACATGTTCTATTGTCCATATAAAGAACACTTCAACAGCCCTGGCCAGTTTGGCTCAGCTGTTAGAGCATCGGCCGGTGGTCCAGAGAGACCTGGGTTTGGTTCCTGCTAAGGGCACGTACCTCGGTTGCAGTTTGTTCCCGGCCCTGCCTGGGTCCTGCGGGTGGCAACCACTCCATGTGTCCCTTTCACGTTAATGTTTCTCTCTCTCTCCTTCCCACTCTATCTGAACAAAAAATGGAAAAATGTCCTTAGGTGAGAATAAAAAAAAAAAGAACACTTCAACATTTTTAGTTCATTAACTTGAAAATGAAATATACATTTATAAGATTCATAAATATATGCATTAACATTGTATTTGAGTAACACATTTATTGTAATTTCCCTTCCTGGTGTAATGATGCTCACATTCACTACAATTTAGTTAAAATTAACTTAGATTGTTTTAGTTTTAGGCTTTTCACCCCTTGTAAGCAGTGCCATGGGAAAAAAGAAAAATAACTTTCTATTACCTTGCCTCAGTCATTTTTACTTTGATTACATTTGAGCTTTTGGAGAAAAATGTGTTACATTTATGCATTTCTTATTCAAGCAATTCTTTAGTATCTGGGGTTGCCACCATGAAAGGGTGACTCCACTAAAGTTCTCAGGATTTCCTTAAGGTACACTCACTTTGATGAAAGCAGTATATCTGTCTTCAAATTGTAGGAGTTATTATATGCTATAGAATTGTGGTGGATTAAATATATAAGTAGTTTTCATATGTGCTGTCCAGGATTGTTGGCAGAGTTATTAATGAATTGATTGAGCTCAACCATTAAAACAAAAGATTTTCATACATATATCAGTCATTACATCAGTATATTATCCTTGTGACCAAAAATTCAGGAGTGCCACTATTTTTAAGACTATCATTTTTTAGTGCGTATTACAGGAGTGCTTTCTGGTGTTTTCTATTTACATTCTTAATCTGTCTGCTGTATCACAGTAAAGAATCATTTGACCTATGCTTAAAAATTGTAGTCTCACCCCCACACACACCTTTGTTTTGGATAGCTTTGATTGTTGGAAAGTGTTGTTCTTATGGAATTGAAATCTGATATCTTTTGCCCTAAGAATTCTCCTTCTGTTGTTTCTAAACATAAAGTTGGCTCTTTCTTACCTTTAATGATCCTTACTTAATATGTCAGAGGACAGCCATCCTGATCCCTCTAAGTCTCTCTTTCCCATGGTGGGCAGACTTTCCTGAGTTGTCATAAAGTGGATGACAGCTTCAGAGAAAATGTGCCACGTGTTCCCTGACCACCAGTAGGAAGAGAGGCCATATCATGTCTCTTGATTTGCTAGCATTTTAGATCTGCCTTGCTGAGTTATCAAAGCATGCAGTTACATGACCTTGAACTTAGTTTCTAAACCAAATAACATTTCTTTTTAACATCACAGGTAAGTGAGTCTCTGTAAACAGCTCTTCTAACCTATAGCCCTTCTGACTAAATCCCAGCCTTTATTTCAGTAGTCCCTGTCCTTTTCCACCCTGTGTCACACTGCTTTGGTACACTCTGTTCCTGGTTATCTTTATAGATGTTTCTAAGGAACATCATTTTACGTGCATGAATCTTGAAAAGACCTCTCTCCGTGGCAAGATAGAATCACTGTCATTATTCTCTAGTCTTTAAATTTATCCTGTCTTTGGCCATGGCTAATTGTTGACTACTATGTGTGACTGGGTGACTAATTAGCTATGGAACTTTAAATAAGTTGCTTAACTTCCCTGAATTCGTTTTATTCAAAACCAAAATTCATGTAGAATAATTTCTAAAGTTCCTTCCTGCTTAAATTTATTATCTTAATGCTCATCTCCAGATGTCTGAATGTCCTCCTAATGACATGGAAGTGAATATCCCAATTAGTTTCTCGAGGGAAAGAGACTATTTTACATTTTATGAAGAAGAGACATTTTTGGATGTCACAGAGAGCATAGTTCAGAATATAACTTCCAAATTTTCTCATGTCTTTTCTTCAGGCTTCTTCATAGAAGGTGTGAAGAGAATGTGATTTTATAACCCATAAGAGAGGATATTAGCCTTTTCTATCAAGAAATCATATTCAGTTTAATAACTATGTCATAATGAAAGCTTAATTAAAAATTCATTAAGTAAAAAGTACTTTTCCAAAATGAAGAAAATAAAAATGACCAAATTTAGAAATTTCTCATGTATAAGGTAATTATTAGGAAAAGTGAATACTTGTTTACTGAAATTAGTAAATAGTGCTGAGAATGACTTGAACCCATGTTATGTTGGGGTTTATTAGGAATAGTGTACATGTGTTACTTGCTCTCATGTATTTCTCTTGTGACTTACTAAAACAGGAAACATATGCTTGACTGATAGGTTCCCATGCTGAGACACTTAATTATTTTTTATGATGGTTCCATCTGAAAATGTTTCACAAATTGGCAGCAGAATTAATTTATATTGTTAGCTAGTGCCCTCTGCTAGCCTGTGTCACCAAATGCTTCTCTTCTGTGCACCGTATCATAATGCATGCCATCACTTTATAAACATCTATAATGTTTTGAAAAAAATACCCTTGAAAAAATTAGGGATTATTCACCCAGTTAACATAAAGCCACAAGTCTCAGGCTAAAGAAAATCTTTATGAAGATAACAAGTTCACATCTCCCCTGAATTTGGATTAATTATGTTAAAACCTAAGGACTAGGGTTGTGTACCTGGCACTGTGACTACTACCCACATGTGGCTTTTGAGTATCTGAAAAGTATCTAGTCTGAATTGAGATGTGCTGTCTGTCCAAAATAACCACCAGATTTTGAAGACTAGATATTATAAAAAAGAATATGAAATGTATATTAATTTTACATTGATAACATGTTGAAGTGATATTTTATATATAGGTTGAATCAAATATATTGTCAAATTAATTTCACCTTTTTTCCACATCTTGAAATGTAACTATTAAAAAACAGAATTTTATCAGTGACTCGTGTTGTATTTCTTTTGGATAACACTGACCTAGTGTGGTTGATCACCTGTAGATAAAGAATAATTGTACATATTTGTAATCTCAAAATTTAAGGAAATTTAACTTTATAGATATAACTCTTTTATTTAAAATTTTTTGAATGCTATCTTCTATATGCATCATGATTATTTCTGTTCCAAAGTTGTGCTTAGTTGTTTCCTATACCTACATTAGCAGACATCTGCCCCTACCTCCTGACCCATTGACTTTAAAGTACAGTAATTTTCCCTTATCTTGAGGTTATGTTCCAGGACACCCAGTGGATACCTGAAACCACAAATAGTATCAAACCATATATATATATCTCTGAAAATCTCAGATCATTCTTTGAAATTATTCTTGCTTATTCCATATTGATTCTCTCTCCCCTGAACTTATTTTGCTCCTATAAAGAATATCAGAAAGCTAACATTTAATTAGATTCTATCTTAAAATAATCTCTAACAGTGCTCATGTATTATTTTTTACACATTTTTGGGAGGGAGTGACAGGGCATACATTCTATTTTCTCAAAAGGGATAATCGTCAGTGTACAACTGAGTCATTGGATAGTTGGTTAATATATCCCCTCACGAGCTTTAAGTATAGTCATTCTTATAGTTTCCTAGAGCCTTGATAGCTATCACAAAAACCACAACACGTACTCATGAGTCAAGATTATACTCTTTTGGGTGAGCCAACTTTTTAAACTGGTGCTTTAGAGAAATAAGTTATGATGCCAATAAAAAAATAAAGGAAATTCACTGTTGCACTTTTTGTCATCTATAATGCCCTCATTTGTACTTTTTATCTGTAAAGTGTCCTTTATACTTTTTGTATTAATGGTCTTTGAATGTTCAGGATGATGCCCGCCAACTCTTTGTGCTCGCTGGAGCTGCTGAAGAAGGTTTCATGACTGCAGAACTTGCTGGAGTTATAAAGAGATTGTGGAAAGATAGTGGTGTACAAGCCTGTTTCAACAGATCCCGAGAGTACCAGCTTAATGATTCTGCAGCATAGTAAGTAATCATAACTTCAGAACTAAACTATCATGAATAATTACTTGCAAATCAAGTATACCTCCAAGTCAATTTTATTGCAGAATTGGCTGACACATTCTTGTACAACTCAGGATACTCAGAATGACAATGTTTGGAAACTTTCTGTCTTTTTTGTGTGTTTGTAGATAGCAGTGTTGTTATTTCCTTGGTGTTCAAAAGTGTCTCAAGAGACTCATGCTTATGTAACTCTAATTGAAACATGTAGAATGGGACTGTTTCCAGTGTATTTCCAAGAAAGTAATTGGAACTTCCCGAAGTTCATTCTGAATGTGGGTGTATCTGTAGTTTACCTGGGATTAGCCAAAAGGGAGGGTAAATGATTTGGGTTTTTTTTTTCCACTATACCAGTGGTGCCTGAGAAGAGTTACTTGTCCAGTGACAGGCAGCTGAATGGCATGTACCCTTTAAAAAAAAAAAAAAAAATGTTTTTATTGATTTTTTTAGAGAGAGAGGAAGGAAGAGAGAGATAGAAACACCCATATGAGAGAGAAAGATTGATTGGCTGTTTCCTGCATGCCCCCTACTAGAGAATTGAGCCCACAACCCGGGCATGTGCCCTGACTGGGAATCGAGCTGGGACCTCTCAGTCCCAGGGAATGATACTCAAACCAATGAGCCACACTAGTCGGGCTGACGTGCACCCTTTTGAAGGGGTGTGTGGTGATTCCAAGATATTTTCCCACTGAGTAAAATAGCTCTACACTTGAAAATTGTCAATTGTAGGTGCCCTGTTGCCTTAGACATTGCTTACAGATACCTAAGTAGTTTTTTGGAAGAAAAGTCTGCTCTGATTTTCCAGATGGTGGCCCAGGAAGTTTGTAAAGCAAGTTGTAATAAAACCTGATCAGGGAACATTCTGCTTGGTGACCTACGCAGAATAACAAAATCAAATCTTTGTTTTGATAATTGCCACACATACTAAAAAAAAATGTATGATATGATGTAACATTAATTTGTCTTAAACATGTGCTGACCACTCACTTTACTTTCCAAGTTTGTTCCATTTTCTTGGCAGAGCCAGGGGCTCTTAGGGACACAAATGAGGTTAGACTGAAGGTGACTGGTATTGGAAGGTCTAGATAAATACACACATTTTGCCACAGTGAAAAAATAGTTGTGCTTATTGTACAGCATGTCATTTTTTGCATATCAGAGTACTTGTGTTACTTGAATGCTTTGGTGTGAATGAATAAATAATACGTTACTGTATGACCTGTAGCATTTTTATAACACTGTATTTCTTTATCTGTATTTTAAATATTTTACAAGTACATAAACCACACATATCTGTAGTTTATATAGGTATATGTAACATTTCATATTGATTATGTAGCCCATATCTCCAACTGTTGTCACTTCTACTAGGAAATAAATATTCCTCAACTCACTGAGTTAGTAGGTCCCTGCTTCCTTGTTTTATGTACTCATAATACAATACATTTTCTTTCCTAGCAGCACAGATTTACATTTGTTTTGAATTCATCTAATTTATACTTGTATTGAAACTATTTGACTATTTTCTGTCTCTGCCACTACACTATCATTTCAGTCAAGTCTGATTTTGCCCAGTGTTCTATCTCCATTGCCTGACATGTAGTCATCACTCAGTATGCCCTTGTTTCGTGATGAATGAATTAATAAACCAAACTTCAAAGAGGCTAGATGAGAAATAAAAAGACAATTACTTAGCGCAAGAACATAGCCCTTAGACCATAATATTTGCTTTGGCACTACCAGTACCTGCAGAAAAATTGAACTGGGAATCACTGTTAAGGTGAGAAATTGCTCTGAGCTGACCCCGTGAAAGGAGCTATTTCAGTAATTAAGGGGGACAGTAGATTTAAATATGTTTCCCTATGTGGGGAGACTTCTTGAACCCCCTCAGTCTATTCACCAATGCCCTCCCTCTTGTGTACAGTGCTTAGACATACATGGAGAAAAATAGATTGCTTTGGCTTTTATTATTTTATTACTGGTAGTTCTGACCTTAAGATGGCAATAATGCAGCTATTTTTCAAGAATGAAGAAAGTCATAGAAATACTTTTCTTCATAGTGATTTCAGGACATTTTTATTTCTGAGTTCTTGACTAAAGATGGGGAGATGCTGCCAACTTGCCCATTAAGACTAACCACCAATTTATACTTCAAATTGCTGAACATTTTAAACAACTAGAATTTTTCACAATGCTTATATTTTTGTCTTGTTGAAATACAAGTGTACATTATTTTTAGAGACTGTTCGAACTATAGCAGTTTTAAGCAAAGAGATGTATTTATGAGTGATCAGAGCATATTTTAAATAAGAGCTCTGTATTTTATAGGGACAGTTAGTAAAATCTTGTCGTGGCCTGTTTAGTGTGTTTATTAAATCAGATTTGTTTATGATAAGGTATAAACAAATTATGTATGTGGAATTAATATAGTTAGAGTACTGGGAGATTTTCACCAATGCAATAAAAGTTAGTAAGATTCTTTTAAATTGAGTACGAATAATATAGGTAACTCAAGCTATTGTATCTCTGTGTATTCTTCTATGTCAACACCAGATATATGTACCTAACTGTCTAAAACAGTTTTGGTCACTAATTCAGTGTTTGGGTAGTTTTCGAGCTCCATCCACAACAAATCAAATATTTATTGAGCTCTTTTGTTTGCAGGACCCTATTCTAAATGGCCAAGGAACAGCTTCAGAGGAAAACATTAATTAAAGTTGCAATAGCTGGTGTCTTTCTGTACATAAACTTATTTTCTAAATTGTCTTCCACATTCTGCCCTAGTAATTTCAGTGCACCACAAGGATACTCTCCACATTCAGCTGACCTTAGAATTAATTCCAGACTTCTCATTTTAGGGTGTGCCTAGCCTATTAGTGACCTTACTTTCTGAGAAACAAGATGTGACTGTTTCTGTCTCCAGACTGTTGTACTGCTTGTCCTGATGCGAATGACATTCCTTTTTTCTGTCCCATCATTCAGATTTCTACTGATACCCCTCGCTATCCATGAATCCTGTTTTAACTACTCAGGTTCACATTAATTTCTGCATATGTGGACTTTCTATAGCATTATGGACTATACTATATAATTTGGCACAAATTATACACGGTAATTGCATTGTATGACACCACCACTTTTTGATATCACAGCGTATTTGGCATTATTGACAGAGAATGTAAAATGAGTGATTAAAATCAGTAAAAAGTAAAATCTGAATATTGATTTATAAAGCCAGTAAAACCCAGAATAAAGCGTCACGTGTAGAGTTTTCTTCTGTGTCACTGAAGGCTGGTTTAAAAGGAACAACATCGAATTCAGCTTTCGGTCTGAGTTTCCTCACTATCTTCTCAAAATCGAATTTTCCAAATCCTCAACAAAAGGATAATGTCTGAAACATAAACACAGTGCTGCATGAAAAAAAGTGAGATAAATTTAAGGAACAAATATATGGTGTGCAGTTATGTGGGGTGTTTTTTAAAGAAGTTACTATTAGTCTGTTTCATTTCCCAGCAAGGAGAATTACTAATTACTGTCCTTCAGAAACAAGATAAATAACATGTAAAAAATGTGAGAAGAGTTTTGTGGTTGGAGAAGTAGAAACACTTTGATTTCAGTAGGAGGTGTGTAAGGTATAAACTTAAATTGGTTGTATTACATCATTACACAGATGTGAAAACTCCCAGTAATTTGGAATATTGCATGCATCAAAATGTCTTCCTCTTTGGATGCTCTTTATCCGCTATATTAACTCTTACCATATTGTTTTATTTATGTTTTCAGCTATTTGAATGACTTGGACAGAATAGCACAGCCAAATTATATACCAACTCAACAAGATGTTCTCAGAACACGAGTGAAAACTACAGGAATTGTTGAAACACACTTTACTTTCAAAGATCTTCACTTTAAGTGAGTAGCTTCAAAGCATATGATTTATAAATTAAGATATAAAACACATTGCTTAGGAAAAAATGTATAATTATATAAGTTTAAAAAATATAGTTGGAAATTATAAAAAATATTTTTTCAGATGATTGGACAAAATAATTTTTGGATGAAAGAGGTCAAGAAACAATCTCAGGAATATTTATATCTTTATTTGAGAACAGCCATGCAAATTCCTTTTGCTATATTTTTCACAGTGATTTGAATAAAAATAGTTTTTGACTTTCATTTCTAAATAGAAAATACTACATATACTGCTCTAATAATATATATTTTGAGAAAGTTCTGCCATCCATTTTTTAGGCAGAAAGAGATAGTTTTATTGGTAGGATATACATTTATTTATGGAAATATTACAAAAGAAGTCTATCTTTTAAAATTTTTTCATGAAAATTTGTATTCATGCAAACTGATGTGATGAAAATGTTTAATTTAGAGTGTACTGATTATTAGCTTGCTGAGCTCAGTCTGAGCAGGGAAACACAGAATTGTAATGGCCTTCAAAAATGGAAGGATCTTGGAATTCATTTTGTCCAGTTTGCTCATTAATGAACCAGGCTCAGGGAAGTTCAGGTAAATGTTGCATTCAAATTTACAGAACTACGTTTTTCTTTTTACAATAACAGTTTTCAAAATATGTCAGAAAGTTGACTGTAATGATCTGAAGCAGTAATGACAATAAAGCAGAATTTCTGAAAGCATCTTTTAAAAAGGTTAGAAGTTAAAGATACATGAAACAGTCACCAGCTCACCTCCTCAAGAAGCAGACACCAGTTGTGGGAAGCACAGTTAAATATATGCAGCTATACCTTTGATTGCCTTCTTCAGTATTTTAAATATATTTGGTATTACCATGTATCACTAATTTATCCCACATTCAGTGGTTCATATAAATGAGTTTTCCAGAAAATTAAAATTTAATTTCAACTTTCCATATCAGCTTCCCTTCAAAAGAACAAACATTGCCCCGCTTCTTTTTTAAAAAAAAATTTTTTAATCCTCACCTGAGGATATTTCTCCATTGATTTTTAGATAGAGTGGGAGGGAGGGAAAGAGGTAGAAACACTGACTCGAGAGAAACACATAAATTGGTTGCCTTCTGAATGACCCCGACTTAGGTCGGGGAACAAACCTGCAACCGCGGTATGTACCCTGACTGGGAATTGAACCATGACCCTTTGGTCTGTGGGTCAATGCTCTAACCACTGAGCAAAACTGTCTAGGGCTTCCTCTTTTTTTTTTTATTAATTAATTTTTGTTACAGATGTTTCTCCTTTTCCCCCCACTGATTCCCCCCTCCCCCTCCCTCCCTGCCCCTTCCCCAGTTTGTTGTCCATGTCCACTGTTCATGCATACATGGTTTATGCATGTGGTTTATCTCTTCCCCACCCCCCACCCCCCTATTTAGGGGATTGTCAGACTCTATCCAACTTCCGCGTCTCTGGGACTACCCCCTTCCTCAGACTGTTATGTTCATTATATTCCACAAATAAGTGAGATCATATGAAACTTGTCTTTCTCTGTTTGGCTTGTTTCACTTAGGATGATACTTTCCAGGTCCCTCCATGTAGTCTCAAAGGATAAGAGGTCTTTCTTTCTTACAGCTGCGTAGTACTCCATGGTGTATATGTACCACAGCTTTTTTATCCATTCGTCTACTGATGGACACTTAGGCTGTTTCCACATCTTAGCTATTGTAAATAGTGCTGCTACAAACATGGGGGTACATATATTCTTTCTGATTGGTGTTTTAGGCTTCTTAGGGTATATTCCTAGAAGTGGGACCACTGGGTCAAATGGAAGTTCAATTTTTAATTTTTTGAGGTAATACCATATTGTTTTCCATAGTGGCTGCACCAGTCTGCATTCCCACTAGCAGTGTATTAGAGTCCCCTTTTCTCCACACCCTCGCCAACACTGGTTGTTTGATGATTTGTTGATGGCGGCCATTCTGACAGGTGTGAGGTGATACCTCATTGTTGTTTTAATTTGCATCTCTCTGATGATTAGTGATGATGAGCATTTCTTCATATGTTTCTTAGCCATTTGTATGTCCTGTTTGGAGAGGTGTCTATTTAGTTCCTCTGCCCATTTTTTAATTGGATTCTTTGTCTTCCTTTTGTGGAGTTGTATGAGCACTCTATATGTATTGGAAATTAACCCCTTATCTGATATATCATTGGCAATTATGCTCTCCCATACAGTGGGTAGCCTTTCCGTTTTGATGATTGAATCTTTCGCTCTGCAGAAGCTTTGGAATTTGATGTAGTCCCATGTGTTCATTTTCTCCTTTGTTTCTATTGACTTAGGTGATGTGTCAGTAAAAATTCTGCGTATGATGTCTGAAATTTTGTTGCCTACAGTCTCTTCTAGGATTTTTATGGATTCATGAGTTACATTTAAGTCTTTTATCCATTTTGGGTTTATTCTCATGTAGGGTGTAGGTTGATGGTCTAGTTTCATTTTTCTCCAAGTAGCTGTCCAATTTTCCCAGCACCATTTATTAAAGAGGTTGTCCTTACTCCACTGTATGTTCTTCCCACCTTTGTCAAATATTAATTAAGCATATTGCCTTGGGTCCATTTCTGGGTTTTCAGTTCTGTTCCACTGGTCTATATGCCTGTTCTTGTGCCAGTGCCAGGCTGTTTTGATTACAATGGCTTTGTAGTATAATCTGAAATCTGGTATTGTGATCCCTCCAACTTTGTTTTTCCTTTTCAAGATTGCTGTGGCTATTCAAGGCCTTTTTTGGTTCCATATGAACTTTTGAAATAATTGTTCTAATTTTGTGAAGTATGCCGTTGGTATTTTGATGGGGATTGCATTAAATCTATAGATTGCTTTGGGTAATATGGACATTTTAAAGATGTTAATTCTCCCAATCCATGAACAGGGTATGTGCTTACACTTTTTTATATCTTCCTCTATTTCTTTTTTCAATGACCCTGTAGTTTTCTGCGAATAGGTCCTTTATTTCTTTGGTTAAGTTTATTCCTAGGTATCTTAAATTTTTTGCCGCAATGGTAAATGGGATTTTTTGCTTAGTTTCTCTTTCTGTGAGTTCATCATTGGTGTATAAGAATACCATCGATTTCTTGACATTAATTTTGTATTAGGGCTTCCTCTTAAACAGATATACAGATCATAATTTATTAACTTACCATAAAATTTGTGCTTTAACACATGGTACAGTTTTGCCTCTGCTTTTAATTTTTTTTTTTTTTTTAAATGTTAGTGGACATTTTTTGTTGCTGTCATTATTTTTTATTGAAATCATGGACCTTTTTGGTCGTCTTACTACTTCTAGAATAGTAAATGGCCAAACTCAGGAGTATTAAAATAATATTTTAAATAATCTGTTATGTCTTACCTGAGAACTATTGTCATGTTTATCTTAAAACTATGAAGTGATTTTAAATATAAGGAAGTTCAGTATTAGAATGAGGCTTTAAGGTTTGTTTTTTAAAACCTAGAGTACCTTAAATTTTGATTCTTTTGCTTTTTATTTATTTCAGTTTAAAGACCATGTTCTGTAGCAATGTTAAATTATGTTCAGATAATTTTTTTATTCTAACCATGTAGCTCAAGGAGAAAATGCATGGGTTTGGAGTTAGCAAGTAAGGATTCTAGACCTAGGCCTCTGTTAGGTAAATGGGCAAACTTGGTTAAGATTCTTAACAGAGAGTATTACCATCTTGCCCATTGTCAGAGGTTTAAACATAAAATGAGTTATTTCTTATAAAGGAAATGTTGTAGAAGTGGCAGCCCTATAAATAGAAATGGCGGTGGTACATGCTAAGTCATCATTGGTATTTGGCAATTCAACTGTAAAATTCGCTATCAGTTTGGTGAGACACACCTTAAACATTCACTTCCAGATCATACGTTTCACCGCCAGCCTGAGTTTCGCAGTTGTCATTTCATTATCAGGCAAGTACTGGGATTCAGTTGTCTCTCGCCATGATCCTCCCAGGAAGTCCATTTATCTTGCTCTATTTAGTCTCCTCAGGTGAGGTAGAATGTCAGGGGTTGGTGTATTTAGTTACTGCTTTCAATTGTTGACTTAAAGATAAACATAGGTTTGTGGAGAACTTCAGATAAACTTTGTCTTATTTTGGACTTTAAAATTCTTTTAAATTACTGTCATTGCTAACATATGGTTCAGATTTGCTTTCATATGTTAAAGGAGCCTCAGAAGGATGAGGGCCTTAGAATAATTCTATTGGGAACTCTTGAGTGTGTTTATCATTTTGTGTGTTTTATGTTGTAATTCACTGTCTGATTTTAACTACTGATGAAAAATTTAAATTTCACTTATTTTGTGGTATGATTGGAATTAAGTTCAAAGTGAAACAATAAGACATTCTTTTTGGAGAGTTTATCTTATCACCTCTGTGACTAGGCATACATGGATTATTTTGCTTTAAAGAATCAATAGATTTATTTTACTATATTTTTACCAAATATAGAATTAAAGCATTTCTTCTATTATAAAATGATTATCATAATATAAGACAAATTTCTATTTATTTTTTATATAAATGTGTAGTAGGTTTTAGAGTGTAATAGGTTGTGGTTGGTATCCATATTTGGTCCACTAGCTCTGCATCAGTCAGTCTTGGTCATTATGGTGTCAGATGGCAGTCAGGAGAAGTCAGCAAGCACATCTCAGGATCTCCAGTATCCCCTTGCACCTTTCCTCACACCTGAAAAGATACCTAAGAAAACTCAGATTCAATCTCTATTTGATACTAGTCAGAAGTCTCATCTTTTCGTATGAAGAACATATTATAATTTTGTTCTATTTTTGATTTAAAAAAATAGAAGTTTAGAATTTGAAGGTAATTTTAATGTATGTGTGAAACAATGACTAATGCTCTATGCACAATCCTATCATTTGTACTATCAGTTCTCAGTCATTTTTCTCCTTGGCTTAAGAATCAGACCAGTGACTTTCAAAGTACAGTCCTCAGAACAGCATTGTTGACTTCATCCACCTGCTGATTCTGCTGTGCCCTGAAGTTTGAGAAACACTGGCTTAGATTCAAGGTTCTTTGATTAAGACCAATATTTGAATGATCCTCGTTCATTTCTAATTTAAATAGATTGAAGGGATTTCTTCTGTTTTCAGATTACCTAATTATCAAGTGAAAGCTCTTTTATATTTAACATTCCCACAGCAGAACTGGATGGTCTGGATTTTAATATGGTGACCAAAGCTAGTCTATTATTATTTGAAAGTGTTTTAAAATATTCTAGAGACACAGTTCACCTATTTATTCAACAAATATTTATGAAATACTTGTCTGTGCCCACTATAAGGGGTATAAAGTGATCAAAATAAATAAAATTACATTGTTTGGGGAGGGTGATATAAATAAATATTTAATATTCAAGGGATGATGATTGCTATAGTGAAAAATAAAGCAAGGTAGAGGAGTATTAGTTTCCTAGGGCTGCTGTAGTAAATTACCACAAACGAGGTGCCCTAAAACAACAGAAATTTATTCTTTCACAGTTCTAGAGGGCTAAACATTAGAAAGCAATATGAGCAGGGATCTGCTCCTTCTGGAGGCTCTAGAAAAGAAACCTTCCTTGCCTCTTCTGGCTTCTGGTGGTGGTTGGTAATCCTTGGTGTTCCTTGGCTTGTAGCTGCATCACTCCAGGGTTTGGCTTTGTCTCATGGCCTTCTTCCCTGTGTGTGTCTGGTTCCTCCTTGCTTAACAGTTCATTCTTCAGTTTATCTCTTCCTCTTGGTTTTTACTATAGCATCAAGGAGAAACAAGACCATCCCGTGCACATTTTGCTTCGAAATTTCCTGTTATATATCCAAGTTCATCTCTTACAAATTCTACCATACACCAATTAGAACACAGTTAAGCATTCTTTTTGCTACTTAAAAAAAGAAATGCCTTTTCTACAGTGTGCAGAAACGTGTTTCTCATTTCCTTATGACAATCATCAGACATATCTTTAACATTCATCTTTCTCCCAACATTGTGTTCACAATGCTATATCAATTCTCTGTGATAGAAGTTTTTCCACCATCCTCTTCACTTCTATTTGAGTCTCACCAAAAGCACCTTTATTGTCCATGTTTCCAGCCAGCCATCTTTTCTAGGCAGTCTGGGCTTTTTTGTCAAGTAATTCAAGATTCTTTCAGCCTCTACCTATTACCAAATTCCAAAGCCACTTTTACATTTTTACGTTGGTTATAGCAGCACCTCACTCTGGGTACTAAAATTTGCATGTCAGAGTTCTTCATAGACACAGAATGAGTAGATTTTGTTTATTTCAAGGAATTGGCTTATATAACTGTGGGGGCTGACAAGTCCAAAATTTGTAGGATAGGACAGCAGGCTCTGACAGAAACGGATTTTGCAGTCTTGAGGCAGAATTTCTCTTCCCTCTGAGAAACATTGGTTTCTGCTCTTAAGGCCTTTCACCTGATTGGAAGAGGTCCACCCAGATTGTCAAGGGTGATCTCCCTCACTCAGAGTCAACTGATTATAAATGTTAGCCACAACTACAAAACACTTTCACAGCAACACCTCGATTCATGTTTGATTAAATAACAAATGTTATTTAAATCAACACATAAAACTAACCATCACAGAGGGAAAATGTGGGATGGCGTGGGTTTGGTTGTTAGTATATATTGAGTGGTCAGAAAATATGTGACATTTGATCAGAGAAGTTATCTAAAATATATTATCTTTTTGGTGAAGTTCGTTTCAGATTATGTTCCTTGACAATTTAGCAAATGTATACTATTTTAATTAATTTTATTTTCTTCTTATTTGATCTTTATTACCAACTGTTCCTTTTTGTATTTTATCCATTTTCATTTATCATCAAATCATTATTATATAGCATTCTTTTATTTTCTTTATTGATTTTAGAGAGAGAGGAAGGGAGAGTGAGAGAGAGAGAGAGAGAGAGAGAAACATCAATGAGAAAGAACATCAACTGGCCACCTCCTGCATGCCCCACACTGGGGATTTGGCCCACAACCTGGGCATGTGCCCTGACCGGGAATCCAACCGGCAACCTCTTGGTGCATGGGTTGACGCTTAACCACTGAGCCACACTGGCTGGGCTATGTAACATTCTTAAAGTTAACAATTTACTGGCTAAACCAACGAAATGAAAGCCATTTAAATGATGATAAAAAGTAACAATACTAGTTGATGTACTCAGATTTGGCTTACAGGCCAATACTGCTCTTCAGGGAAAATTCTTTTTGCTTCCTGAGATTTAAATAGGAACTATTTTAATTAGTTCACTATCTAGATAAATAGAACCTTTTAAAATGTACCATTTTGCATAGTGTTTTCATTATATAAGTGGTTACTGCTAGGTTGCATAACATACCCTATGGGCATTTCAACTTTTGTTAACTTAATAAACTCTTACAAGAAAAAGAGGAAAGAATTGTTGTCTTTATACTGTTTGTGTTGCTTCCCTGTACACTAATCTAGTGATCTATTGTTGCAAATTGTTTAAAAAGAAGTTTTGTTTTTTTTTACTCTGTATTTTAAGATTATTCATTAGGGCTACCCATTTATCTCATATTGCGTCTCACATTTGTTTTTTTTTTTATAACCTGGGTTTACTTTTTAATTTAGGCAACTTGTTGGCCCCACTCTAAATATGACTTGGTTGCTCAGCTTTTTCTTACCTGGAGTGGATTCTCCTTCACGTCAAAGTCCTGCTTATTGCCTCTGAGAGTAAACAACATCTTGTAGGGGAAGAGGGGACCATGTCCTCTGCCTCTAACATTTCATGACATTGGCAAATTGAACACACTCAGTTCTCTGCATTTCCTAGTTGCTTCATGTGAATTATTGTGTTTACACATAGTGAAGTCTATTCATATGTATTTGTTTTAATGTTCTAAGTGTTCTTGTATGTTAATATGTTGTTTTTGAAGGTTTTTTGTTTTTTTGTTTTGTTTTGAGTTATCATCTCTTAAGTCAAAATTTTTTAAAAATCAGACATTTCCCATTTGTGAAAATCAATTTCTGACATTATTTTTGTCCTATAAAGTCCTTTTCTCCTTTCTTCCCATCCCACAGTCTCTCGCAATTTTTGTTGATATCATAGAACTCAGAGCTTTGGGACATTTAATGTGATGTCCAACTCATTATTTCTCCTCTTACAGAATGTTTGATGTGGGTGGACAAAGGTCTGAGCGGAAGAAATGGATTCATTGCTTTGAAGGAGTGACCGCCATCATTTTCTGTGTGGCACTGAGTGACTATGACCTGGTTCTAGCTGAAGATGAAGAAATGGCAAGTACCACCGCCCCTTTTAAAGAATTGAGCATAAAGTATGAAAAGTTGAAGATGTTTCCAGGACTTTTTCTAAGAAAAAGTCTTGCTAATGTCTGAATTCTTTGAAAGTTTGGGCCCTTTTCTGTTTCCATAGTAAACGGGAACTATATCAAAGAAGCAAAGATAGATCCTGAGAAAAAGGAAAAGAAAGAGCTAATCTCATCTCAACCCTAATGTGTTTAATTATGCATTCCCTATATCTGGTAGTATCTACTTACTGAATAAAAATAAACTTTGTTTCATAATAGTCCAAGACTTATTTTTCTTAACGTATTGCTTGTACCAGTTCCAGCTCAGTAATCTTTGACTTATGTTATACTTTGCACTGCCATGTAATTTTTAGATGTATTTTAGTGTACCACTAATCTGGGGGAAATATTTTTAAGTAGAAATTGAAAACTTTGTCATTTTAAAGTAAGTATAGTACAAACTGGAGAAAAAAAGAAATGTCAGTTTTCTGTTTTTAAAATCAGGTATGTGTGGTTACAGTGCAGGAGGTACATTGCACCTCACACATTCATTGCCCTCATTTCAGCAACAGAAAATACAGCAGTGCTCTGTTGAAACCGTAGATACTGGGAGGCAGGAAACAGGAATGGAGATTTCCTTCCTTAGCAAACCTTTATATTAAGGTGTTGAGCTAATTATGTTTCAGTTTAACTTATTAATATTTAAAAAGATCTACTTATCTCTTAATGGAAACTTCAGTTCTCTCTGTAATAATGAGATCTTTCCAAAGGTTTACACTTGGCATCCCTAGGTTTCACATCCTCTGCAGGACATGCTCAGGCACAGTGACACATAGTGGGTACTCAGCGAGTACTGGTTGAATGCCAAAGGTAATGAGTGATGTGAACACTCATCTCTCCAAAAATAAAGGTGTGCTTGTTCTTACATGCCAGAAATGTGCTGTCGTAGTATGTTATCTACTTTTCAGCTAAGCTCTATTTTGTTACAACATTTGTTATTTTTTAAAAGTAATATTTCTCAAAATCCTTGCCATTGTGACAGACCGATTGTATCTTATCTACTGCAGAATCGAATGCATGAAAGCATGAAGTTGTTCGACAGCATATGTAACAACAAATGGTTTACAGAAACGTCTATTATACTTTTTCTAAACAAGAAGGATCTCTTTGAAGAAAAGATCAAAAAGAGCCCTCTCACTATATGCTATCCAGAATATGCAGGTATTTTACTTTCTGTAAATACCTTGTCATGTCATATATTTCCAAGTGAAACTTCCCCTAAGGCAAGATTTCAGTTGTTGATTTGAATCCCTTGGTTTAGTAATTCTTGCCTTGAAGAGAAATTACTTATCACACTGTATTCAAACACAAGTAGTTACTTGGGGTATGGATTAGATTATTGAAAAGGACATATCCATTTTATGGAAAAGTTAAATAACTTTCTATGATTTCACATCTTTATAAATGTACAGCATTGATTTCTGCATCTAGTTAACAGGTCTTGCGTCAAGTATTGTGTGATGCACAATAAATAAGGCATGTCTTGCTCCCTGTCTAATCTCCAAGACAAGTGACTCATAGACACACAATAGCAGTGCAGCATGCTACTATGAAGTAACATGAACAATAAATGTAAGGGGAACAGGTGAAGCAGGAATTTGTGAATTAGCTAACAACTCAGGAGTCAGGGAAGGTTTCACAGGAAAGCCAAACTTTGGTAGTGAGACTATTAACGGTAATTTAATCTCACTACTGTGGAAAAAGGTCTGCAGTGAGAAAAGGAGACCGAAGTACAGTCCTGGCTTTTCTATCATTAGCTCTTTGATCTTGAGCAAAGCAGTTAAATTATCTGGGTCTCATTACCCCATCTTTACAATCAGAAGTAGGCTGAACCATCGGTTATGGTTTAGGTTCATTTTGGAACACTTTCTGGACTGCTGCTATTCAAAGTGGGTGCAAGGAAGGGAGATGCAGCCCCACCCTTCACACACTCACACACCTCTCATTAAAGCAGAGTAATGTAGCTTTCAACTGAATAAGATTTTATTTTAATGAAGAGAACTCTGTGCCTTAAAAACAGTTTTTAGGTTCTCTAATCAAAATTTTCTGAAGAGTTTGGTAAATTTAGCTACTTTATACAAGTTACTCGATTCTTCATTCTTCCTGTTTTAAAATAAGTCTCAGGAATTTGGTTATAAACAGAAATTGAGTCAGCCTTGGATTGAGTAAATTGTACGATAAGTAACAGGGGATGTTTAAAACAACCCTGTGGTGTCAGTACTCTTACTTACTGGGACGTAATCCAAATCCAGACCTAAGTCCATCAATCACATCATTAACCACCAGACTAACTTTAATTAAATTCTCATTGGAACTGGGGGTAGAAGAGGGATCTTCAGTAAATATAAGCCCACTAATTATTACAGCCCTTTTTTTGTATACTGCAAAGTTATACTTCAATTCAAAATAATTTCACACAGTTTCTTATTTTAAAACTTGTTTTCTTTTTGAAAGTCATAGTATCATAAGTTACTTTATCCAGCAACAGTTTTAGCACTTATGATGAACAAAATTATTTATAGTACTAATTCCAAGATTGAAGTTATCCAGAATCAAGGTGGCTTAGTTTTGCCCTTCCTTTTATCTGTCTTCAGCTTTTGTCATTTTTTATTATGAAGTGGCTGTTTTGTACTAATATTACCAGAGTGCGCAAATGAATCCATAGATAACCTGCAGGGACTTCAGAGCAACAAGGAATATACTTGTTAGCTCTTTCTTTGCCAGGTATACAGTATGCAAAAGAATGTCCCTGATATTGTCAAGTTAATAAATATCCCTAATTTCAAAATTTTTTCAACAAAGAATGTGACGTAATTCCTTCACATATTTAGTGTTAGTATAATAATTAATCTTCACTGCATTCCCTAATTATTGACTCAGTTACCTCTTGCTTCAGCCTCAACTCCTCATTCGTATGGCTGTTGCTTTTTATAGAAGAACCCTCTGTAGCCTTAAAATACTCAGTTTATTTGCTACCCCTTTCTGCTTCTATCTTGCCCTCTTGTTTTTTTCTGTATGTTGGCAGTTCACCACCTTCCAGCTGCAGGCCTGTAATCTTTTAGCCTCTATCCTTTCATGGTCATATTTTTGTCATCATGTTAAATTCTGTTGTCAACTCTGATTTCTCTCTAGGCTTACATTTCCAACTACTTCTTGAGCATGTACTCGATTTTTAGCACCTGAAACTCAAACTACACTCAGTGTATTTTGTTTTTCCCAAATCTCTAGCTCCCTTTGAATTATATCAACCTCCCACTTCTCCATTCTTGAACCAGGTTGTCATCTGTACTTAGTTTTGTTTAGGACAGTTCTGTCACTTGTTAGACAATATCTATCACATTCTCCTCTGCCCCCATCCTTGCCATTCTTTTCTTAAGATTTAAAATCAGATTGAAGAACGTGTCTGTTAGTTTATTAATGTGCATATCTTGTTGCTCTTGGGATTAGGTAATGTAACTGGCCACACAGAATATATACAGGAAATTGAGCTAGGTACTCAGTGAAAGCTATTTTCCCAAAACATACAGGGTGTGGCAAAAGTAGGTTATAGTTGTGAGTACACAAAACACTGTTTATTCTTGTATTAGTATTTATTTATTATTGTAGTATTTTCTATATGAACAGCTATAAACCTGCTTTTCCTCACGTATATTTTTAATATAGTGATTGCATTACCTTCTGTGTAAAAAAGGCACTGTTATTACTTTAGAAATTCAGAACAACAACCTTATTATGATTTAATAAAATACCATTTTATTTGTAAAAGTATATGGTTATCTACTAAGAACTTAAAAGACTTAAAATGTATTTTGACCACCTAGAAAAAAAATGGATAAATTCCTAGAGACATACAGCTTACCAAGACTGAATCATGAAGAAATGTAATATTTGGATAGATTTATTACTAGTAAGAAGATTGTATCAGTAATCAAAAAACCTCCCAACAAACAAAAGACCATAACCAGATGGCCTCACTGGTGAATTCTAACAAACATTTAAAAAATAATTGATACCAGTTCTTCTCAAACTTGCCCAAAGTAGAATAGGGCAGAGCATTTCCAGACTCATTTTACAAGGCCAGCGTTACCCTGACACCAAAACCAGACAAGAACACCACACAAAAAAAGAAACTTATAGGTTCATATCTCTGATGAACACAAATGCAGAAGTTATTGACAAAATATTAGCGAATCAAATTCAACAGTACATCAAAAGGGTCATAGACCATGATCAAATAGGGTTTATTCCAGGGATGCAAAGATGGTTCACCACCTGCAAATCAAGCAATGTGATATACAACCTTAACAAAATGAAGGATTAAATTAGATGCAGAAGAACATCTGAAAAATTCATCAATTCATGATTAAAACTTTCAATAAAGTGAGTTTAGAGGAAATGTACTTAAACATAATATAGCTCACATATGACAGGTCCACAGCTAACATCATAGTTAGTGCTGAAGAGCTAAACATTTTTTCTCTTAAGATCAAGAACAAGACAAGGAATCCAGTTCTCGCTACTTTTATCCAACATAGTATTAGAAGTCAGGCAGAGGAATTAGGCAAGAAAAGTAAAGGGCAGCCAAGTTGGAAAGGAAGAAGAAAAACTGTCATCATTTGTAGATTGCATGATATTATATACAGAAAACCCTAAAGATACCACTACAAAACTATTAGAACTAATAAACAATTCAGTAAAGTTTCAGGATACAAAAATAATATACAAAAAGCTGTTACATTTCTATACTAGTAATGAACTATCAGAAATAAAGGAAGCATCTCCATTTACAGTTGCATCAAAAAGAACAAAATACGCAAGAATAAATTTAACCGAGTTGATGTAAGAAATGAAAGAAAACACAAATAAATGGAAAGATAGTTCATGCTCAGGGATTGAAAGAATATTGTTAAAGTGTTCATCTTACCCACAGCAGTCTACAGATTCAATGCAGTTCTATCAAAGTCCAATGGAATTCTTTACATAAAGGGAAGAAACAACCCTAAAACTTGTAAGGAGCCACAAGGGACTTTGGATAGTTGAAGAAGTCTTGAGAAAGATCACAGCTGGAGGCACAATGCTCTCTGATTTCAAACCATATTACAGAGCTACAAAACAGTATGGTATTGGCCTAAAACTGGCATATAGATCAAAGGAACAGAATAGAGAGCCCAGAAATAAACCCACACATATATAGTCAATTAATTTTCAACAAAGGAACCAAGAATATACAACATAGAAAAGATAGCTTCTTCAGTAAATGGCATTGGAAAACTGGACAGCCACATGCAAAAGAAAACTGTACTGCTATCTGACACCATTAACAAAAATGAACTCAAAATGGATGAAAGATGTGAACATAAGACCTGAAACCATAAAACTCCTAGAAAAAAACAGGTGGTAAGCACCTTGACATCAGTCTTGGTGATGATATTTTTGGATGACATTAACAGCAAAAGTAACAAAAGCGAAAATAAACAAGTAGGACTACATCAAACTAAAAGTCGTCTGCCCAAGAAAGAAAGACATCAACAAAATGAAAACACAACCTACAAATGGGAGAAAATACTTGCAAACCATATATCTGGTAAGGGGGTAATATCCAAAAATATAGAAAGAATTCATACAGCTCAATAGCAAAAAACAAAAACAAAAAAACCCAAAGCAAAAAACTAAACAAAATAAAAAATGAGCAGAGGCCTTGAGTAGACATTTTCCAAAGAAGACATACAGGTGGCCAACAGGTCCATGAATAGGTGCTCAGCACCACTAATGATCAGGGAAATGCAAATCAAAACCACGATGAACTATCACTTTACACCTGTTAGAATGGTGATTATAAAAAAGCTAAGAAATAACAAGTGTTAGTAAGGATGTAGAGAAAAGGGAACCATTTTGCACTGTTGATGGGAATGTAAATTGGTGCCATCACTACGGATGTTCTCAAAAAACATGGCATAAGTACCACGTGATTCAGCAATTTCATCTCTGGATATGAGAGAACAAAATACAAACTCCAAAACATATCTGCATGCCCATGTTCGTTCCAGCATGTTTATTGTAACAAAGGTATGGAAACAACTGGTGAACTAATTGGAGGAGAGGTTTCTGTACCAACACAGGTGGCAGTCTGTGTATTGTGTTCTCATGCCATGAGGTGAGCCTCAGTGTAGAAGAGAGGATCTCAGAACAGAGATCCTCTGAACAGGTTGAGTATTAGAGGACCTTGAAAGCCAGGCAAATAATGTGCTATTACTACAAAGAGAAATTTAATAATTATTTTCAAATGAGCATTTGATTGAAGTATGATATATGTGTATATATAAAAATATATACATACACAAACACTCAACACTAATATGAAGCTCACTGAATTTTTTAAAATAGAAATACTGGTATTTTTATCGCTCGGGTGAAGGGGTAGAACATTTCCAGTTTCTCAGAAGCCCCATCATGCCCCTCCTAACACACGCGCGCGCGCACACACACACACACACACACACACACAAGTACTTATTATGACTTATCCTCATTGATTAATTTTGATGGTTGTCAGATTTCTTTGACTATTTTCTAAACATCAGTTGAATTATATAGTGTATAGTCTTTTTATATCTGGCTTTACTTGATCAACAGTATGTTTATGAAACTTACCCACGTTATTGGGTATAGCAGCTTGTTTTATGAATATATAGGAATTTATTAGCTGGTTGTTTCCTAACTAGAAGTTCTGCTATTAAGAATCTATATGTTTTGTGGTAAAACATACATATAATTATGTCAAGGCCACATCTAGAAACTGAATACTGGGTCGCAGAGTATGCGTGTGATTATCTTCTGATACTAACAATCAATTTCTGGAGTGTTTGGACTCAGAAGTCTTCAGTCAGTCAGTTACCTGAAAGCAGGAGCGTGCCATTCACTCTTTTGTAGACCTTTGTACAATTTTTTAATGAACATATTAATGAGAAATGCTCCTTAATATGTGTGTAAGAAAGGGAATAAAAATACTGGTTAGCATTGAAGCCAGCATTCTTGATCAGCTCCTGTGTAACCGAGTGGGAACCGAGTGGTGCCGTGTCGGGATATAGGGTACAAGGAATAAGAAGAACGAGGGAGGGATCTGGCATTTGGAGATTGAAGCAGGAACAAAAATCTTATAGAATGTGTAAAAGCATGTTTTTGGTTTCAGATTTGTTTTTTTCAAGGGTAACATGTATTCATGAAAAGGTAGTTAACACTGGGTATTTTTCATTTAGAAGAAATAGTTTCTCTTATTCTTTAAGGAAAAATACAATTATGGAGTACAAATATTATAAATGTATGAAACTAATTTCAATCTTTAAGGCCCATTTTTCTTAGTCGTATAAGCCTTTTTACTTTTCTCCTTATGTTTTTCCCCTTTCCCATCCCAGGCTCAAACACATATGAAGAGGCAGCTGCATATATTCAATGTCAGTTTGAAGACCTCAATAAAAGAAAGGACACAAAGGAAATATACACCCACTTCACATGTGCCACAGATACTAAGAATGTGCAGTTTGTTTTTGATGCCGTAACAGATGTCATCATAAAAAATAACCTAAAAGATTGTGGTCTCTTCTGAGTTTAGCAGTGAATGGTTAAATGCATTTTCAAACCAAATGAGTACTTATATGTGGATCTTTCTAGACTAGAGTCTTGCAGCAACACAGAATGTAGTATACAGCAAACACATCTGGACCTGACCAAAGTTGTTCTGTTTTGTTTTCTTTTTAACGGAAAGGAAAGAAAGCACCTTTCTTAAATGCAAAAGATGGTCCTGCTGTGTGAAACTAAGGGCAGTGTGAAAGCTGGGCTCTAGTGTATCGATGATTTCTGTGTAAGTGTAAATATGCAAATGTATGTATACATGTATTTATAACTTTGGTTTTCCACGTTACTTTTAGGTTTTAAAAGTTGCAACTTACAATTCTAGTGTGATCGCTTTGGAAATAACAGGACTATTAAGTACTTTGTACTCAATGCCAGACTAGTACCATGTTCATTAGTTTTAAACAGCTTTATTTATGTTCATGCCCTATAAAATTTTAAGTATAGTAATTAATATTAGGAAACACTGCAGCCCTTATCTTGATTATCTTATAATCATAAAAATGTTATTTGTACAAACATTGCACAGACTATTTTAATAACATGATTTGTTCTTTAAATTTAATGCTTTATTGAAATGTTCTTAAAGAGGATGAATATATCTGCCTTTGGATTAATTATTTAAACACTGTATGCATTTTCTTTTTTAAGATTGCATGCTGATCTTATTCTACATTAGATTTGATTTAAAGAACTAAAATTTCATATTTTACTATCTTGGACTTATAAATACTTAATTTTTATTCAGTTGATTTGTTTTCACTTTGAATTTTAATATTTGGATGATATTCAGGCATTGCCCTAAAGATGCCAGATTAATTTTTATACACTTTAAATAATTACCTTTTTATTTATAACTTTAGGTGGATGAGAAGAGCATTTCTGGGTAAAAAATATGTCAGCATAATGAATTTTGAGACATTCATTTGTGTATTTCCTTTGGGAAATTCCTTGTACCTAGCATACAAAATAGCTCTTTGGAAAATAATGAGAAAGACCTTTAAATATTCTGTTGCTGATGTAATGCAAGCTTTTAGTTCATATATGTAACTAGTTTCAAATTTAATTATCAGACTATATTAAAATTACTATTTTCCCTTAGATTATTCAAATATCTTCCAGTTGCTTGAGTTTATATTATTTCTTTTTAAATTGTGCTATTATTTCTGAGAATGAACAGGCAATTACACTTAGGAAATGAGTAATAGTATTTAATAAAGTCAGTGATTGTACGTATGCTCAAATAAGTGTTACATATCAGCTAGATGTTGAACTTCAATAGAGTCATTTTTTTTTTTATTCATGATATATCTTGTGACCTTGTTTCATCAAAATGAACAGCATTCCCCACCCTATTTGCCTTTCTCACTCATCTTGAAAGAGTTAGCCTTTCAGTGAGCCTTGTGGTAAGTAGTTTCTAAGTTTAGTTATGTGCTGTTGTTTTATTGAGTTAAGTTGAAGTATATTTGTTGAAGTATGTGTGTATGTGTGTGTGGGTAACCACAGACTACAGTTATATCCGTTTCATCTTGGGGATTTGTTTTTCTTCTTTGTAGAGTAAAGAAATTTAAAATTATCAAAATTTCTTAAGTGTGTTAGTTTAGATTCTTTATGTGCCTTTCATGAAAGATATGTTTTCATTAATTTTACTGATGGAAGACCTGTAATATTCATATTGTGAAGCTATGTATGAAATTCAACCATACTGAATAAATTTGAATCATGAAAATTAGAGTTTAAAAAGGCAGAAAAAGCACACATTGGTGATCATAATTGATGAATTCCTGAACTTTATTCTGTGTAATTGTGTTACTAATAAATCCTAATAAATTTAAATTTTTAAAATTTTATAAATCTGTTGGCTAAACACATGTTTTTGCATTAGGATTTAAGTATCAATGTATAATATGTTCATTTCTTCTTTATCTTTGTTGTCTTTTTGCAATTTTATCTATTCCAGAAGATTGATTTTTCCCTGCTTCAAGTATTCTCCTGATAAATGGTGTCACATTTAGAAATGCCTGCCTGGTCCCTCCTTCTGAGAATTGATTGACTGTTCCAACTCAGTATGCCCAAAGTCATATTCTCCCTTTAAACCAGTTCTTACCTCCTACTTTGCCATTGTAGTTACTCAGTACCATCATTCATTCAACCCCTCATTGTGGACTTTTCAGCTGTTGGGAGGAACTCTTCTTAGCACTCAACTCCATCTCTAGTCAGCCACCATTTCTTAAAGTTCTACTTTTTCACTGCCTCACATGTGGTTTTTTTGTTAGTTTTATTTTTCTATCACCATGACTACCTATTGCATTCAGGTCTTTGCTTAACTTTCACTTGAAATGGCTTCTTAATGAAATTCCTCACCTCCCATTACTCCCTTCTCTGATCCAGGTTAGTTATCCTAGTGTGGTACTGTGGCTGTGTATCTTCTGTGCATTACTCTGCATTGGCTCTAACTCATCAAAATCAAATCTGACTTAGCCTCCATTCAAGGCTCATCATCGGAGCCTACATCCATCCCCACTCCTCTCCCACACTACATCCTAACAGTGCTTGGTGCATAGCCTGGGCTTTTCTCCAAACCTCATACTACAAACTACCTGAGATATGCTTAAAACAGTGCCCAGAACATGGGGAAGTATTCATTCATGGCTATTAATGTTACTGTTTGTATTTATTAGCACTTTTTGTTTGTGATGCCTTTTTTTAGATTCAACTGGCATCTGTCCTTCATTCTGTCCTTTGGGGAATGCATGGTTCTGGTAAGGTTGCCAATCACAGTTTCATCTTCCTGGCCACAGACTCAGGCCTGACCAGTCCTACACCTTTGTCACTGGGCAAGTAACCCAAACAGAGCCAGTCATAGTCCACATTCCTGTTCCTAAGGTTCCTAAAGCTATTTTGGCTTCTAGAATTGCCTTAATTTCAGTACCATTCTCAAAAAACTCCTTTTATGCTTGATGTCATTATTTAGGTTCAATCTCTTACTGGAAAGTCCTGACTAAAATGCATATGTTCTCATTGAAAACCAACAGTAACTGTGAAACCTAAAAAAAAAAAAAAAAATGCTTAGAGGGAATAGTTAACTGGAGCGGGATCAGATCAAGGTTTCAAACCTATGACTTGTAACTTCATGTTTGTCGGGAACTCCAACGAATGCTACCTTAGCCCCAGAAAATGTATAACTAGTCATTCATCCCCACTCCCACCTTCTCATTTATCTGAACCATAATACTTTTTTAGATTATAGTATTGAACTACACATGTCTATTAATACATAGATTTTTTTCAACAAATACTGTAAGTGTATGTTCTCTTCCTTATAATTTCCTTAACATTTTCTTTACTTTTTTGTAAGACTATAATATAATACATATAACCTACAGAATATGAGTTAATGTTTATGTTACCAGTAAGGCTTCTGGTCATTAGTGGGAATGTATTAGTTAAGTTTTTGGGGAGTCAAAGTTTATATGTGGATGTTTGCACAGAGTATGTTGGGGATCAGTAACCCCTAAACCCTATATTATTTAGTGTCAACTGTAAAACTAAGATAGCACAAAGCTGGAGGCATCGAGCTCCCTGATTTCGAACTATACTCCAAAGTTATAGTAATCAAAACAGTATTGTATTGGCATAAAATCAGACAAATACATCAATGGAACAGAATAGAGAACCCAGAAATAAACTTACACATATATGATCAATTACTTTATGACCAGGAACCAACACTAAAATGGGGAGAGGAATTCTTCTTCAATAAATGCTGTGGGAAAAACTGGACAGCCATGTGCAAAATACCGAGACTGGACCACTGTCTCACATCATACACAAAAATTACCTCAAAGGATTAAAAATGAATTCATATGCATTAAAGAGTTGAACATAAGACCTGAAACCATAAGACTCCTAGAAGAAAACAGATGGTAAGCTCCTTTTTTTATTTTTGGTATGTGCCCCTAGCGGAAATCGAACCCGGGACTCTGGTCTGCAGGCCGACACTCCAACCGCTGAGCTAAACTGGCCAGGGCAGGGGTAAGCTCCTTGACATCAGTCTTGGTGATGATTTTTTGGAATGACACCAAAAGAAAAGGCGACAAAAGCAGAATAAACAGTAGGACTACATCAAACTAAAAGACTTTTCTGCACAGAGAAGGAAATCTTCAATGAAAAGGGAACAGACAGAATGAGAGAACATATTTGCAAACCACGTATCTGGTAAGAGGTTAATATCCAATATATATAAAGAACTCATAAAAATAGCAAAACAATGCAATGAGATTTAAAAATGGGCAAAGGATCTGAGTACACATTTTTCAAAGACATGCTCAAGGCCAACAGGTTCATGAGAAGGTGCTCAACATCACTAATCACCAGGGCAATGTACATGAAAACCACAGTGAACTATCACCTCATACTTGTTAGAGAGGGTATTATAAAAAGACAAGAAATAAGTGTTGGTGAGGATGTGGAGAAAAGGGACCACTTGATAGGAATGTAAAGTAGTGCAGCCACTATGGAAAACAATGTGACAATGCCTTAAAAAAATTAAAATTGAACTATCATGTAATCCAGTAATTCCACTTCTGGAAATATATCCAGAAAAAAAAAGTCTATGTGGGAGAAATACATGCATTCCCATGTTTATTGCAGCATTATTTATAACCAAGACATGTAAACAACCTAAGTGCCCATTGATGGATGAGTGGATAAAGAACACGTGAGAATATGAATGTAGCCTGGCTGGGGGTGGCTCAGTGTCGTCTCATGGACTGAGAGGTCCCAGTTCAATGCCTGGTCAGGGCACATGCCCAGGTTGTGGACTTGATCCCTAGTGGGGGTGGTTTGCAGGAGGCAGCTGATCAATGTTTCTCTCTCACATTGATGTTTCTCTCCCTCTCTCTCTAAAAAATCAAAACATATTTTTTAAAAGAATATGAATATATATCTTAAAAAAGGGAAATCTTGCCATTTGTGGCAACATGGATAGACCTTGAGGGCATTATGCTACATGAAATAAGACAGAAAAAAGTAAATACTATATGATCCTACTTATGTGTGAAATCAAAAATAATCCTCATAAAGTCAGAATAAATTGGTGGTTGCTATGGTGGGAGGTAGGGATGAGCAAAGGAGGTAAGTCTAGTCAAAAGGTGCAAATATCCAGTTATAAAACAAGTCATGAGGATGTAATGCACAGTATGGTGACCACAGTTAACAATATTGTATATTTGAACATTACTGGGAGAGTAAATTGTAAAAGCTCTTACTGACTGAAAAAAAAATTGTGTAACCATATGTTAACTAGACTTACTGTGATGATCATTTTGCAATATATACAAATATTGAATCATTATGTTGTGTACTTGAAACTAATACAACGTTATGTGTCAATAATATCTCAAGTAGAAAAATAACCTCTTAAAAATACATATGATACCAATTATGTCCTATTGCAAAGCTATTGATGTTATCTTAACACCCATTAGATTTGAAGTCATTTAAGGGACAGTCT